GTCAGCAGGTCAGGCTCTGAATAACAGTTGCTGACCAAAGACAGGCTTTTAGAAGAAGCTGGCTGAAAATAACTGAGTTTAAGTTGTCATAGTTTTATTGGTACTTTGTGGTTTATTGTTATGTTTCAGAGGAAAAGTCACTGTGTCACAAGCAGTACATGATTAATTTCACTTATTAACATTACTTAATTAAAAACAAACTGTCTTTTTCAGAAAAAAACCGTAATGGCTTTCTTGAATTTTTTTTTTCTTAATAACTGATCCACAGAAATAAGTGGTCAGCCTGCCCAGTCACTGCTATCAAATACCCAATGTCATCCAATTTATAAAAGCTCAGATAACAATTATCTCAAAATGATATATGTCAAAGTAATTCTCTTTAAGGGACAGGATTTCAGATGGTTTTGCCTTTATTTTGCTTTGCTCATTTATATCACCTGGTTTGTCTACAATAAACAAGTAGCCTTTGTATAAATTTTCAAAAATCATGAATGGAAAAAAATTACCTTAAAAAGCCTTAATAAAAAATAAACAGCACATGAGCAGATGGCATCACCTACGCCAAAAACAAATAAAATAAAACGAAAGTATCATAGCAGAACTAACGCCTCTTAAGACCAGTTCTGTTAAACCAGTGATGCTAGAGTTAGAACGAAGTAGGAATCACTAGCACACTGAAATATAATCAGAGCACTCTCATGAAGTGGTGCTTATTCTAACCACAAGACATTTTATAGGTGAACTTTCACGTTACAGATCATTAGCCAGCAAGCGTCATTACGCCCCCACTGTGAAACGGGGGACGCTGGAAAACCCAGAGGAGTCGGTCAGAGCATGCACTGATCACCGCGCTGGGTGGACAATGTCCGGGGGACAATACACTGGTCCCTACAAAAAGGAGCATCGATGAAATGTATGTGTATGTCCCAACACATAAATATTTGTTTAAGAAAATGAATAGAAATCCAAATTAATAATATTCCTGAAATCGGAGTATCACAATGATAAACAACCAAGCCAAGTCACTGGGGACCTTGACTTCTTTGCACCCTGTAGATTAAGCATGGCTCCTCTTCCTGGTGGCCTACAAGATACTTTCACAGGTGCCTATCCTCCACCTTGGCCCACACCACACACACACACGCAAATACAATCCAATGATTACTTAAAGGTTTGGGGGAGGAAAATGTCCCAATTTAACGAAGGCCCAGAGTTTGGCATTCTTCATCTGCATCTTCTCAGAGCCTTTGCTATACAACCTTCAGCGAATCCCATGGACCCCTTTTTGGCCTCAGTTTCCTTATCTTTACTGTAAGAAGGTTAAACATCATTGAGTCTCAAAAAGGAAAAGGAGGCAAAACCCACAGGAAGATGCATGATGGGATGGCACATGAGGTATTTACGTTCTCTGAGGGGAAGAGCAAAGGAAAACCTGAGATGCGCTGCCTTCCCCACACTCAGAACCTGACCAGCTCTGACCAGGAGGGTGTCACGAAGTGCCCGACTGGGCTAGATCACCGCCAAGGTCCACACCACGTCCAATGCACTTGGACATGAAACCTATCCCTGAACGATTCTAACTTTCTAAAACAGAGGGAGAGTGTGGGTACTGTCTAAGGGATAGAGTTAATTGGCAAGTCCGAATACTCTGATATTAAAACAACTTAAAAAGAGAAATTAAAGAGAAGGAAGCAGCATACCCGGTTTTCCCAAACCAGTTGCCCATGACGGCAACCACACAAGGCCAACCCGTGGACTGCAGCAGGCCGTTCACGATCCACAGGCAGCAGTACAGCCACTTGTTGTAGAAGTGCAGCCATTCCGTGACAGTGCCAAAGACAAAGACCTTAGAGAAGGAGGAAAGAAAAAGGGACATGTGACATCCACAGGGACACTGAGTACACTCCACCACTGCGCACATTTCTGTTTCTGCGTGAAGCGATGACAGGAAGGAGACGTTCAATGTCTAGAACTGAGACACGTGTGGCCAACTCTGGATGCCTCTACTCAGAGCAGCCCTGAGTGACTGAGATAACCACCCAAGCGCCACCAACCAGAGGCACAGACATCAAACAGCATAAAACTCATTCATGATAACCCCTCCAACTTGCGTCTTCAACTGTGAAAGTTCAGTCCTCATTCTCTGATCTCAGTTTACAGCTACAGTTGACTCTTGAACAACATGGGGATTAGGAGTACTGACCCCTGCAGTCAAAAATCCACATGTAACTTTTAACTTCCCCAGAATTTAACTACTAATAGCCTACTGTTGACCAGAAGTCTTACTGATAACATAAACAGTCGATTAACACACATTTTGCATGTTATATGTATTACATGCTGTATTCTTACAATAAAGTAAGTTAGAGAAAAGAAAATGTTATTAAGAAAGTCATAAGGAAGAGAAAATATATTTATAGTATTTATGAAAGAAATCCGTGTATAAGTGGACCCATGCAGTTCAAACTCGTGTCGTTCAAGGATCACCTGTATTTCCATTTCCTCTTCCTCTGGACTATGTTTGAGCAGGATTGTGTGGGCACTGAGTTCACGGGAGTAATAAGTTGGAACAGTGCCAGCCACACGGGGGGACTGAGAGGCGCCAGCTATCGCTGTTGCTGCAGCTACCAAGTGAATCAGAGTAATTTGGGATTAGTCAGTAACTTAGAGCATTCACGGGACGGGACAGCTTTTACCAAGCATGTTGCTCGAGTGGACCTTTTATTTGTAGCCGAAGTCTCTTTTGGGGATATGTTGCATGGGTATGTATAATACTGTATGATTCCAGTTACGTGACATTCTGGAATAAGCAAAGCTGGAAGGACAGAAAAATGGTCAGTGGATGCCAGAGGCTGGGAGAAGAAAGAGGGGTGGTAGTTATACAATGAGGCATGTTTGTCAAAATTCACTAAAACTATACACTAAAAAGAATGAGTTCATGTACATACTTAAATTTTTCAAAAACTATCTTTAAAAAAAGTATGTTTTAAAACAGGTTTGCTGGCCGGTCGAGTGGCTCAGTTGGTTAAGTGCTCGCTCAAGGATGCGAGCGCTGAGCAACAGGGTCGCCGGTTTGATTCCCGGCCCAAGCTGAGCTGCCGCTGAGCTGCCGCTGAGCTGCCAACAGGTGGCAAGATGGCTCAGCTG